CTAGATCCTTTCTTTGTTGGTTATGTAAAGCTGGTTGGTACAGGGTTCAGGTTCTCTCAGGTTTATTTTGGAGGGAACTGATGGCTTCAAATCAGCTATTCAGGGGTACCCACAGAATCCCAGTTCATGCTCCTGTCAGGTACACTCAGGCTTCTTTCACCATGTGGAGGCAGGATCCAGGCTCTCTCAGGCAGTCCTGTGTGTTGTCAACCCTATGACAGAGGGAGGCCAGAGGAGGGGACCAGAACTCTGCACTCTCTGGTGGTCTGCTAAGATCCCAGCCTTAGCCTACCAAAGCCAGATCTGCCCTGGGGCCTTGCGAGGGGGCCTCACAAAATCCCAGGTTGGGGAATGGTATGGTGTTATTAGGGGATGCGCACCACCACAAAGAGACAGGATCCAGGGGCTGTCAGGCTGTCCCATGGGTTCTCAGGCCCTCTACTTTTGGAGGACAGAGGGAGGCCAGAACCCCTGCACTCTCAGGTGTTCTGCTGAGCTCCAAGCAGCTACCCGGATGGAGGAGGTCCGAACCCTCTCAGGACCTCTGCTAGCATCTCCTCCCTAGCTTACCAAAGCCAGATCTGCCCTGGGGCCTTGGGAGGGGCCTCACAAAATCCCAGATAGGAGGATGGTATGGTGCAATTAGGGGAAGCTCAGCACCATATAGAGGCAGGATCCGGGGCCTGTCAGGCTGTCCCCTGGGTTCTCAGGTCCTCTGGTATTTGGAGGCCAGAGGAAGGCCAGGAACCCTCATTCTCTGGCCGTCTTCTGAGCTCCGAGCCTTTCATACGTGTTTATAATTACTTGTAGCCTGTGTTGTTTACGTACTCTCCATAGTGAATGCCTATGTTGATCTGTGTCTTGGTTTTGTGTACAGTGCTGCAGTGACAGGACTGCAGATTTCTCTGCACAGTGCTGATTCCATTTACTTGGATATATGTGGGCAGCAGTGGTGTCATTCAGTAGTTCTTTGTTTATATTTTGTTGGTTTTTTCATTTGAGACAGGCTCTCACATTGCCTAAACTAGCCTCAAACTGACCAATACTCAAGGCTTGCCTTGAACTGTGGATCCTCCTGCCTTGAGCTGGTGAGTGCTGAGGGTGCAGCTGTGTACCCACTCCTGGCTTACTGTCTAGTCTTTGGAGGAAGCCTTGCACTGTATTTCATAGCAGCTGTGAGCATTTATACTCCTACCACTAGCTGATGAGACTTATCAGTGTTTCTTGTTTGGTGTTGTAGGTAAGAACCATTCTGACTGCTATGCAGTGATCCCTGACTTTGAGTGGCTTTTCTATGATGAGGAGTAGCAGGCAGTGCTTCCATATTGAAGGGCTATTTGAGTGTCATGTTTGAGAAACGGCTGTTGAGGCGATGTGAGCAGATTCAATCAGATCATTTGCTTTTGAATTATTTAACATTAATACTGAATGTGTTAGTCAGCTTTCCACTGTATAAATATTTGAGGTTCTCAATATTAAGAAATTGATCTTTTGGTGAAAAAATGTAATACTTTTTCATCATTTATTTCAAATATTCTATTGATTACACATTTTCTGTGCTTTACCTGAGCCTTTAACAGCTGTGCCAGCGATCCAGACCCACACCCCTTCTGTACTGATGGTTTCAAGTTCCTTGGACCCCCGGCTAGAGATTTTTGCTTTGTCGCTGTGTCTTTAGCAGACTTACAAATTCTGTCTGTCACCTTCATTTTCCTCACGTGCTAACCCCACACCCCAGTCTACTTAGAGGCCTTACATTTCCACGTTTGATCTATTTTTTCGTGTTTTATTCTTTATGCCTTTTTTTTTTTTTTTTTGAGATCCTTTTGAACCTTTTAATGCTGTTTTCTAGGCTGTCCTGAACTCTTCATGGCTGAGAATGGTCTTAAGCTCCTGCTTCTCTTGACTGTACATCTTAAGTTCTGGGATTTGAGGTGTGTGCAGCACACTCAGGTGCGCATCCATTTTACTTGAATTTTTTTTATGAATTTAGAGAGTGGGACCTGTTGATATACTGTGTTTCTCTGAATGATTTACAGATGAGAGCTTCCTTCTGGGGTCTGGAATGATGGCTCAAGCAGTTAAGAGTAATGACTGCTCGTGCAGAAGACCCAGGTTTGATTCCCAGCTCCCATAATTCAACTAACAGGTGTCCATAACTCAGTTCCATGGGAACAGACACCCTCTCCTGGCCTCTGCAGGGATTACATGTACAAGTACACTTACATACAGGCAAACATTCATGCACATAGAATAAAAATAAAATTTAAAAAATAAAAAAGAACTTCTCTGTAGAATATGAAGTCTTGAATTGAAGCCTGTGCTGAAAGTCAGGTGACTGAACACATTACTCAGCTTTCCACATCTCTGGGAAAACAGCTGAGAGAAACACTTAATAGGAGAAAAATGTATGCTGGCTCACGGTTTCCAAAGGATCTAATCCACAGTTCCTGGGCCTCACTTTGGTCCTGTGGTGAGGAGTGCATCATGGCAGGGAGCACTGACAGAGTGTGCTGCTCCCCTCACTGCAGGCAGAAAGCAAAGAGTAGAGATGACATCCAACATCCTGCCTTGGGTTGTTGTCATGACGTCATTACCTTCACTGGGTTCTACCTGCTAACAGTATAAGAGACTGCTGACCAAGACTCAGCACCTGGCCTCTAGAGCATCTTAAATTCACAGTACAACACTGAATGTGTGGGGATTTAATATGGGTCTGTAAATCACTAAGAAGTATACTTGAGAGTATTGCTTCTTCCAACCTATTAACATTTTTCCTGTTTTTAAAAATATTTTGATTAATGAATTTTTTTTACAGTATAAGAGACTGCTGACCAAGACTCAGCACCTGGCCTCTAGAGCATCTTAAATTCACAGTACAACACTGAATGTGTGGAGATTTAATATGGGTCTGTAAATCACTAAGAAGTATACTTGAGAGTATTGCTTCTTCCAACCTATTAACATTTTTCCTGTTTTTAAAAATATTT